AAATCGAATTCAAAGAATATATTTATAAACTAAAAATTCAAAGAAGAATTTTTTAAAGCCTTTGATAAACAAGCTGATGCTTTCAGAGTATTGAATTTCCCGACTTAGCGTGTTGAAAAACTTAAAACCTTGATGTTGACCTTATAATGTTTGTAACCTCTAGACAGCTCTTTAATTTCTCACCTCTAGCTGTGTCTTTGGCTTTCCAGTGACAAAAAACTGTTGCGAAATTTGAAGCATGTCTTTGACATTACTGTCCGTGATTAAACATGTTTTGACTCTGTGAAGGACATCAGCAAAGTCCACAGCATTGCAATGTAACAAAAACGTGTTATAAGGAGTGCATAACCTAGAAATTGAATTTTTTTCTTCATCCATTGACAACTTATAATTCATGACTGCTTTGTGGGCTTCAAGTACATCATGTAATTTCACTGTAAACTCCCCGGCTTCCTTAAAGAAAAAAGATAGAGCCATTATCAATATTTCTGTCAACAAATCATCATCATATCGATCTTTTAAGACTGACCGGATGGTTACAAAAGCTTGGTGCCACTTACACTGACCGCCTCCCAGTTAGCTCAATGGATAGAGTGCTGGACAGTTGTGTGGGAGGTCGAGGGTTCAAGCCACGGCCGGACCAACACCTAGTAGGGGACTTCGTGTCCTATTGTTCTTCCACCTGTACAATGTGCAAATCTTTAGAAACACAGAATTGTCTTTTATTAGATATTATTTTGTACGCAAAACCTCTACAGTGTTCTTGATTTCAGGGGGCTTTTCATATATTGGGTAGGAAAATCTAAAATTATAGTGTAGTAAGCTTTGCAATAATTTGGTTTTATCAACTGAGTAAATCGTGTATGAACTCTTCTGAACAAAAACGACGCCTAAATATCTTAAAAACTTTAACTCTCAAGATCTGAAGGTTAATTCTCCCCTCTTGCTGCTGCATATTTCCTTGTAAATTTCGGGCGTGAAGACCTAAACACCGCGAATATGAAGTGAGCTTAAGCTTACTGCAAATTGGTTAGCACAAAACTTCGTTGATTTTATCTTGTAGCTGCTGGTATCTTAACTAATTCTTCACATCAAAAAGTTGACTCTTTCCTTTACTTCTAAGGGCAGGGAGGACTTCACCTGCATGAAATCTACTACAATCCTTGGATATATCACACAAATTATGTATCAAAGTTATTATACCCAATATCTGTTTTAAAAACATATGCAGATCACTACCACCTACATTTGACACAATTGGCATAATGATACCTATAAATGAGAGTTCTTACCAAAGATCAAAATCTAAAATAATAACAGTTATCTGATTATTAACAATAATTTATGCTTTAAGCCACTTTAACAATCATACTATTAAGGCATTGATCTCAACTGAAAGTTTTTAGATACTATTTCATTAAAGCAGTAATCTTTCTATACATGTATAGCTTGGTTGAAAGGAGGCCTTGTGCAAACTCTCGACTAGAGGCACTCTCCTCTCTGTACTCTAGCGGATGTTTTTCACTTTGAATTATTTTAATTAACTGTAGAAGCCTTTCCAGTCAATCCAGACTAGTAGGATTATGTCAAAGAATTCCCATACTGACTCCCTAATACATGAAGAGCTCGAGCACTCTAGAAGACAAATTCCAAAATATACCTGATCCAAATATTTTTGTCCACAGTGTGGGTATATGTCAACAAAATTATCTACATCATCCTGCTCACTAAACAGTAGATCCCCATGTCTTGATGAAATTGTATTTCCACCTTTTGCTTTCTTTCTAGCCAGACCAAAGCAGGCATCAATACTTTCAATGAGCACACCATTTTTCTGGGGTAAGATGAAAAAAGGTAATAATCAGATTTTTTTAATCACATTTTCTGAATATCTTCTGAATAAAATTGTCCTTTACTGGATGTGCTTCAGGGATACAACAACTCCTCGCACTCACTCATGGCCCAGTGTGCCACATGGCACATGGGGCTTCAGTATTAAAGGGCTCTCCACTGCTGGCAATCCTGTGCCTTAGTTTGTCTAGCTCACGGAAACACCAAGAAATGTTAATTACCTTTTCCTAACTGCAGGGTTAATAGTAAAGTCAATTTTATGAGCTGAAACACAAAATATTACTATGAAATCATCTCAAAACACTCAATAATGACAGCTACCCCACTAAATTTCAAAGAGATTGCATAAAGTGAGTTACCATCAGCCATGTGATCATGACAGTCACTCTACAATGTTTTTACAGTGAAATGAAACTTGGCATTAACTGTTGCCTAATGAGAAGCAGCATAAAGGAGGCTGGCAGACCACTAATAATAACAAAATAATTATGTAGAACAACTTACTCTGGGACACAAGGGGCAGTCAGCACCATTGTAGAGTTCTGGCACAAAGGAGTCCAAGTACCTTAGCTTGTACTTGAAATGTCTATATCACATGTCACAAGATGACATTAATTTAGGTTGCTACAATGTATAATATAAATTCTAAGTATATTTTAAAAGAAATATACCTGTATATTGCTACCATTAAATTAATAACTGCATGAGAAAATCGAATTACTCCACATGAAAACTGACAAAACTGACCAAAATGAAAACTAGCCAAGCAAATCATATATTTATACTGATGCATATTGGTTTCTTTAACATGAAGTAAGTAGGAGCTTCAATACCACCTACACTATACCCTGGATAAGATGCTAGTACCTCACACTGGGTACTGATTTTCAGATGTAACCAAATGGCTGCCAGTATCCGTTTATACACGATTTACTCAGTTTATCAACTGAGTAAATGGTGTATGAACTCTTCTGAACAAAAACGAAGCCTACATATCTAGCGTCTCTTCCCCAACTCCACTGGGTCTAATACACCTTGGATTCCATTTTGGCCGCGTTGTCATGCGTTTCGTGGAACTGGCATGCGTGAGTACAAGGCTGACCCCCTTCTTTGGCACATGTCCCTCATAGTGCACAGCCTCCCACTCTGACGCATGCCACTCCGCCGCCCGTGATTTCCCGGAGTTGCGCGTCTATCCCCCAACTAACTCCCCTGGGTCTATTGAACATGGGATTTTCTTTTGGCCGCGTTCTCATGCGTTTCGTGGAAGTGGCATGCGTGATTACAAGGCTCACTCTCACGCATGTCACTCAGGCGCCCGTCATTTCCCGCAGTTGCGCGTCTATTCCCCAACTCCCCTGGCTCTAGTGCACCTGGGATTCCATTTTTAACTCGTTGTCATGCGTTTCGTAGGAGTGGGATACGTGATTACTAGGCTCACTCCCTTCTTTCGCAAATGTGCCTCATAATGCACAGCCTCTAACTCTCACGCATGCCACTCCGTCGGCCGCGATTTCCAGGAGATCCGCGTCTATTCCCCAGCTCCCCAGAGTCTAGTGCAACTGGGATTCCATTTCGGCCGCGTTGTCATGCGTTTCGTGGAAGTGGCATGCGAGATTAGAAGGCTCACTCCCTTCTTTCGCACATGTGCCTCACTTTCACGCATGCCACTCCTGCGCCCGTGACTTCCCGGAGTTGCGCGTCTATTCCCCAACTCCCCTTGGTCTAGTTCACCTGGGATTCCATTTTGGCCGCGTTCTCATGCGTTTCGTGGAAGTGGCATGCGTAAGTACAAGGCTCACCCCCTTCTTTCGTACATGTGCCTCATAGTGCACAGCCTCTCACTCTCAGGCATGCCACTCTGGCGGCCGTGATTTGGAGGAGTGGCGCGTCTACTCCACAACTCCCCTGGGACTATCTAGTGCACTAGGGATTCCATTTTGGCCGCGTTCTCATGCGTTTCGTGGAAGTGGCATGCGTAAGTACAAGGCTCACCCCCTTCTTTCGTACATGTGCCTCATAGTGCACAGCCTCTCACTCTCAGGCATGCCACTCTGGCGGCCGTGATTTCCCGGAGTTCCGCGTCTATTCCCCAACTAACTCCCCTGGGTCTATTGAACCTGGGATTCCATGTTGGCCGCGTTGTCATGCGTTTCGTGGAAGTTGCATGCGGGATTAGAAGGCTCACCCCCTTCTTTCGCACACGTGCCTCACTCTCACGCATGCCACTCCGGCGCCCGTCTTTTCCCGGAGTTGCGCGTCTATTCCTCAACTAACTCCCCTGGGTCTAGTGCACCTGGGATTCCATTTTGACCGCGTTGTCAGGCGTTTCGTAGGAGTGGGATACGTGATTACAAGGCTCACCGCCTTCTTTCGCACATGTGTCTAACTCTCCGAATGCCACTTCGGCGTAGGTGACTTCCCGGAGTTGCGCGTCTCTTTCCTAACTCCCCTGGGTCTAGTGCACCTGGGATTCCTTTTTGGCCGCGTTATCATGCGTTTCGTGGAAGTGGCATGCAAGATTAGAAGGCACACGCCCTTCTTTCGCACATGTGCCTCACTCTCACGCATGCCACTCCGGTGCCTGTGACTTCCCGGAGTTACGCGTCTATTCCCCAACTCCCCTGGGTCTAGTACTTTTGGGATTCCATTCTGGCCTCGTTGTCATGCGTTTCGGGAAAGCGGCATGCGTGAGTACAAGGCTCACCCCCTTCTTTCGCACATGTGCCTCATAGTGCACAGCCTCTCACTCTCACGCATGCCACTCCGGCGGCCGTGATTTCCCAGAGCTGCGCTTCTATTCTCCAACTAACTCCCCTGGATCTATTGAACCTGGGATTCCATTTTGGCCGCGTTGTCATGCGTTTCGTGGAAGTGGCATGCGTGATTAGAAGGCTCCCCCCTTCTTTCGCACATGTGCCTTACTCTCACGAATGCCACTCCGGCGGCCGCGATTTCCCGGAGTTGCGCGTCTATTCCCCCACTAACTCCCCTGGGTCTATTGAACCTGGGATTCCATTTTGGCCGCGTTGTCATGCGTTTCGTGGAAGTGGCATGCGGAATTACAAGGCTCACCCCCTTTTACCGCACATCTACCTCACTCTCACGCATGCCACTCCGGCGCCCGTGACTTTCCGGAGTTGCGCGTCTTTTCCCCCAACTCCCCTGGGTCTAGTACACCTGGGATTACATTTTGGCCGCGTTGTCATGCGTTTCGTGGAAGTGGCATGCGTAAGTACAAGGCTCACCCCCTTCTTTTACACATGTGCCTCACTTTCACGCATGCCACTCCGGCGGCCGCGATTTTCCGGAGTTGCGCGTCTATTCCCTAACTAACTCCCCTGGGTCTAGTGCACCTGGGATTCCATTTTGGCCCCGCTGTCATGCGTTTCGTGGAAGTGACACGCGTAAGTACAAGGCTCACCCCCTTCTTTCGCACAATTGGCTCATAGTGCACAGACTCTCACTCTCACGCATGCCACTCCGGCGGCGGCAGTGTCCCGGAGTTGCGCCTCTATTCCCCAAGTAACTCTCCTGGGTTTATTGAACCTGGGATTCCATTTTGGCCGCGTTGTCATGCGTTTCGTGGAAGTGCCAAGCGTGATTACAAGGCTCACCCCCTTCTTTCGCACATGTGCCTCACTCTCCCGCATGCCACTCCGGCCACCGTCATTTTCCGGAGTTGCGCGTCTATTCCCCAACTAACTCCCCTGCGTCTAGTGCACCTGGGATTCCATTTTGGCCGCGT